TTCAGATGGGCGGGACAGGAGAGCAGTGGTTCGGAGTCAGGCCAGCCCGTGCCGAGTTCCCGCTCTGACCCTCCTCCCAGACCCTCAGCTTGCTCACCACACAGCAGTGAGAGGCGGGGCTCCCTGAGGACTCCTGGGGACGGTGTCGCCCCCTTCTGGATGGTGGTGTTAAGGCACAAGGCCGTTCTGAGGGTGAGACAGCCGGCGCAGCGCTGTGCTCAGCACGCCGCCTGGACTCTGGTAGCCCCAGGTGATGACGGCTGTCGGAAGTGTGGTGTCATCAGGGGCCGTCCCACGTGCCGTGGAGCCCATGAGGCACCGCAGCGTTTCTGGCGTCACCACCAATAATGAGGCTCAGGGGTCCTCTGTGCTGGACGCACCCTGAGGTCTGCGTGGAGGAGTAGCGGTGCCTTGGGGACCTGTGGCCACGGAGAGCTCCTTACCCATGTCCCCGTACCCTTTTTTTTACCACGTTTTTTAAAAAAATACTTGACTCTTTAATCCTTATGAAATGTATTTTTTGCATGTGGTTTGAAGTAAAGGATGTAACCTTATTTTCTTAAGTGAGTGGCTGATTGTCCTGATACCATTTATTAATCCATTTTGCCCAGTCTGAAGTGCCCTCTTTAGTGTGGACCAACTTCCTGTGTGTGCACGGTGACCGTGTCTCTTGTGTCTCTTGGTCTGTGTGCTGTCCTGCATGATCATTAGGGCATCAGAGCGTGTGTTGACAGGGGATTGTGTGTAGCCTCCCCCAACTCATTGTTCTTTCAAAAAGGCTCTGTCTGCAGGCGTACGTTCTGCCTTTCATGTACTTCGGTAGCCAGAAAACCCGAGCCCTCCTTACGGTCATGCTTGGAATGGTTCAGTCCCTCCATCGAGGTGAATGCAGAGCCTCCTCGGGGGTGGATCCCGGGGTCTGCCCGGAGCTGGCCTCATCTCCTTGTGGGAGCTGCAGACACTGTTCCAGCTCCACGGCTCAGCGCCCTTAACCCTCCCCAGAGCCCTGGGAAGGTGGGTGCAGCAGGATGGCTGTCCCCAGGTGGCAGATGAGGACACAGGCACAGTGAGGTGAATTCAGTCGTCCCGAACCACAGACCCGAGCCTTCTGACTCAGGGAGCCGTCCTCCTCCACGTGCGGCGCTCAGCTCCAGACGCCCTTGGCTCTGACGCTCTCCCAGTGCACGTATTGGGGCAGAGGCGCCAGAGGAGGGACCTGATCGGATGGAAGTTCTTCACGATGTTGCTGGAAAGGTCAAGTTTTTGCAGAAGGTCAAGTTGCAGGCACATTTTCTCTCATCAGTGCTCTTCCCAGGAGTTTCCAGCTACCTCGGTCCTGGTGCTCTGGGCACGTGGTCACACAGAGTCGCATGTCTCTGCAGACAGACCTGCAGCGCAGCGACGGTGGCCACTGAGGGAGAGCTTCTGCTGCCCGCTGTCGTCTCCACTCTGCCTTCCCAGGGCTGGGGCGGAGTGTCTCCAGGGACCATGTGAGGACGGCCGTGAGGAGCACACGTATGTGCAAGGCCGGGTCAGAGCTTCCAGCCCCAAGCACTTCACTGTGCCCTGGCCCCCCCGTCACGTGGACTGGAGAGAGATGTCCCGCGGCATCCCTGGGGGCTTGGCCCACCCAGGAAGCGGAGGTGGACTCACCCTAATGCTGTGAAGGTGGAAGCAGGATTCCCTCCCGAGCACTCCGAGTGGTCAGATGCCTGCGTGGCGGGGTCCCTCAGGATGCGTTCTGGGCCCTGTCCAGCTCCTGCCTCCCCCGGAGCTGAGTTGCTGTTTCGCACGGACACAGCCTCTCTGTGAACGGGGCCCGGTCAGCCGGCAGGAGCCGTCATGCACCTGGTTAAGTGCGGTGCACAGTCACGTGGGCTTGTGACTGGCCCAGAAGCTCGTTGGCGCCTGGAGCACCTACTTCTCAGGAGAAGCAAATCCAACTTCAACACGTGGGCCACACCGCGCCTGAGAGTGGAGGGTGACACATAACAGAGGGACGGCGGGCGGCCGAGGCCTGCCATCACCACCTGTGGACACAGAGCAGGCTGCTGGCCGCTTGCTTGGGCCCCGACTGCCCAGTGATGGGTCTTGGCTGTCGAGCTGGTGCTCTTGGGGACTCAGAAGTTGCTCGGTGCAGACGGTGGCCGCCAATCAGATGCACCACGTGCCAGGGGACACACGGGCTTGTGTGGTGGTCACTGTTCCAGACAAATGCCACCGTCATGACGGAACTAAAGCACTGCGCTTGTTCTGCTGCGTTAGAGCACAGCTGTGAGGGCATAGAGGATTCCTAAACTTACATCTATTACTTGGTTGAAACAGGCAGTAAGCACCCCACAGTGACCTTGTCGCCCGTACCACGCGTCTCCCTCAAAACTTGTCTTTTACGCCACGTGTGGACACAGTGAAGGTCGATGCCGTGACGTGGCCTTTAAAGGGACGGTCGAGCAGGGAGGGGGTCTGGGGCACGGCTGCTGCTAGGAAGCCCCTGCCTGGGGTTGTGTCTCCGGGTCCTGTTCCTCAGTCTCCTCTGCTTTCTCCCCTTTTCTGTGTTGCAGGGCGGCCATCAGCAGGGACCCTTTCTACGAGATGCTAGCCGCGCGGAAGAAGAAGGTCTCTTCCACGAAAAGACATTGAGTCTCTACACAGCCAGCAGGGCTGGTGTGCCCGGCGAGCGAGGCCCGGCGCAGCCTCCCTGCCTCCCGTGCAGTGGGAGCGTCTTGCCAGGCATCGCCCTGAGTTCCTAGAGACTAGCTTCAGCTTTTGCTAATTTTTTTAAGTGGGAGAAGGGTAGGCAGTTACCCTTGGAGAAGGGGGCCTGATGCCATCACACTTGGGTTTTGAGCCTTTCTCTCTAAAAAGAACAGAGCTCCTGTCGGCCATGCTGCCTCCCCGCAAGTCTCCACTCAACAGGTCTGATAGCAGAGCTCGGAGCCGACCATTTACCTCTCAGTTATTCCCTGGGAAGAAGCCTTCAACCCTGCACCATAAATATGTGTACCCATATCTTATTTTATGTTAAGAAAAAAAGTGGAATGGAAGAGAAGCCACATGCTATAAAGATATATTTTTGTTTTTTAAAGAAAGAGAAAGAGAAGGTAGAGCTGTCCAGGCATTCTGCCTGTCTGCCTCGGGAAGCTTCTCCCGAGAGAAGCAGCCCCCTGGGCCGCCGCTGTGCATGTCAGCCCGGGCCCCGGGCCGGGGCCCGGGCGGGGCCCCTCCCCGCGCTTCTGGGGCCTCGTCTGGGCGAGGGAGGGGGTGGCGAGAGGGGGGAGGGGGCCGCGCGGCGAGGACAGACTCGGGGCCTGCAGGGCAGCACCGGCCGCTCCAGCTGAAACTTTTCCTTCCAGGTGCCTGGGGAGCACTGCGGGGAGAAGGGAGCCCGCCCCCCGCCTGCGCTGTTCCTTCTCGTTCAGGACTCGTTCTTGTCGGGCTTTAAAATAGTCAGCATTTTTCCTTGAGCTACATACCTAATAACCAAAACTGTGAGGAAGGTAGTCCCATCAGAGATTCCGGGATAACCTGTTTCTTATTTGGTTTTTCTTCCTCCTGCTCCTGAACTCCATTCCTCGTTTTAGAGGAAGGAGCAGGTCTGACCCGATCACCTTAGGGCTTCAGCCTTCTCTGCCTCCAAACTGGCCTTCACCTGGACTCGCCGTGCATGTGGCACTGGCCCTTGGAGAGGAGCGGGCCTTCGTCTGCGCGGCAGGGGCGGGTCGGGGGAGCCGGAGGGTGAGTGGTCAGCCTCCCGCTGGAGTCGGCCTTGCCCTCCTAACACGTGGCCTGAAGGAGCCGTGGCCGCCGCTCTCCTGCTGTTCTCTCAGGGACTCTCGTCCGGGGCCCAGCGCCCGGTCCAGGCAGAGCAGGGCTGGCCGGGCCATTGCAGCGCCAGTGTGACCCTGGCCCCTCTGACACCTTCCGGGCGGGTTCACATCTCTGGAAATAGCTTTTGTAAAGGGGAGTGGTGGGGTCACTTTCTGGGGTCCCCCCTTCACGTAGGTCCTACCTGGAGCGGCTTCAGGCGTTTTAATGCCAGAGCTCGTGAAGGTGGCAGAAGAGGGTCCAGGCTGGGAACCTGAAGTTTCTGGGCGGGAGAACCAGGGTGGTGCCAGCCGAGGTCCAGGGGGTCTGGGCCGGTGCTGGAGCCCCTCTGGCTATCCGAGTCCCTGGCCCTGGTTCTCACGAGTATTACCTAGACAGAGAGGCACCTGGATCAGTATTAGTCTATTTATCAGAGGTGTAAATAATCCATGTATAGTTTTTCTCCTTTTGGATTATTTTGTATTTGTTTTAAAAAAAAAGTTTTGTCAAAATATAAAGAAATGACTGAAAGTTGTTGACAGGGTTTTTAAAAAAAATTACAATTATTCCAATCGTTTTTTGTTTGTCTGGTTTTTTTTGCATTGTAAACTAGCACCAAGGAACTGCAGCAAATAAACTCCACATCTGCCCAAACCACTTTGTTGACTGTGGCATTGCTTCATGCCCACATGGGCCCTGAGAAGGAAGGTCATGCTTGTCAGGTGCACTTCCGCGGGAGGATGTGTCACTTGAACCTCTCGTCTTAAGTCTAGTGATGATAAAGATCGGAAGTGGCGAGGATGGTTCTGTCTTCCGTTAAGGAGAGCAGAGCAAAAATGATCGTTGGCATAGTCATTCCCCACCTCCCCGCCCTTTTTGGAAGAAGAAACAAATGTCAGACATCAACTTTAAATTAAGATCAAGAAGTGTGCCTTCAGCCTTTGTAATACATTCTTAGTATTATTTCATTTTCCAGATGTGCCTACATAACGCCAGGGAAGAGTCACAGTGAGGTAGAGCTCAAAAGTTGAGAAGACATTCAGCATAGCATCTCAGGGTAAGGAGATGGACAAGCCTTAGCCTGTCCCCTCGGCTGGTGGTTCATCAGAACGTGCAATGTAGAGTTATCGTGTGATCCAGCAATTCTACTCCAGGGTATATGCCCAAGAGAATTGAAAGCATGTCCACACAAAAACGTGCGCACGACTGTTTATAGCAACGTGATTCACAACAGCCAAAAGGTGGAAACAATCTAAATGTTCATCAACTTTTGAATGGATGAACAAACTTTCGTCTGTCCATACGAGGGAGTATCATGTAGCCACAAAAAGGAATGAAGTACAGATTCGTGCTGTGACGTGGCTGAACCCTGAAAACGTTACGCTGAGTGAAAGAAGCCTGACACAGAAACCCACAGTTTATATGATTCTTTTCACATGCAGTGTCTTGAAAAGGCAAATCTATGGAGAGAGAAAGTAGAATGGTGGTAGTCAGAGGCTGGAGATGTTGGGGAGAATGGGGAGTGACTGCCCATGCGTACAGGGTTTCTTTTTTGGGGTGTTGAAAATATTCTGGAGTTAGTGGTGTTGGTTACACAATGTTGTGAATGCACTAAATCCCACTGAATTGTACACTTTAAAAGGGTGAATTTTATGATACGTGAATCACGTCTCAGTTTTAGAACAATAGCAGTGAACAAATGCCATCACTTCCCATGGTTTTACTGGTTCTCAAAGTGTGGTTCCCTGGTCAGCGTCTTCAGCAACATCTGGGAATGGGTTAGAAATGCACATTCTCAGGCCCCCGCCACACTGACTGAATTAGAACCTCTTGTGCTGGGGCCTGACACAGTTTAACAAGTTCTCCAGGTGCTTCTGGTGCCCAGTAATGTTTGAGAACAACTGCCTTAAACAACCACCCTGATTCCTTCTGTTACAAAACTGAGGTTTGGCCGCTCATCGTTTAAGAATCCAATGTTGAGAGACAAATGTTGGGTAGAAGGAAAGATATTAGCTTTATTGAGGAAGCTGGCAAGCCTGCAGAGAAGGTGGACTCATGTCCCAAAGAACCAATTCCCCCTTGTCGACTGGGGGCAAGAGCTTTTAAAGGGGAGTTTCAGGGGTTCACAGGCGGGGTTGGGGGGGGCCATATGCAGAACAGCACAGTCAACTCTGACAGTAGTCTTGAAATTGCTTACGTGGAGGTCTGATCAGTGTCATCTTGATTCTTTTAAGTACAGTTATTCTTCGACTCCAGGGTCAGTTTGTTCCCATTTCCTTGAGGCCAGTTCTTGGACTAGAGCAAGATGGAGCAGCTTATGTCTCATGGCTACAGTCTGGTCGTCATGTAGTTAACTTCTTCCTCCTGGTCGGGGTTTCAGTATCTGCAAAGCAGCTCAAAGGATATGGATCATAGCCCTTAAGAAGGAGCTAAAGGTCCTTGATTTTGTTTAATGGTTGAACTATTAGTATTTTGTCTTGTTTGACTATTTTCCTCTGTTTCTGCATTTTCTCATTTCTCTGATTAAATTTATTCTTTGGCTAAAGTTCTTCCAGACAAGATGCAGGTGGAGGACATGGGGAGGGTGGGTGTCTGTCCCAGGAAGGCCCCAAAGGGTCCTGCGCCATTACACTTCCTTCTCTTCATTGCTAGGCATACATACATACATACATACATATGTGTGTGTGTGTGTGTGTGTGTGTGTGTGTGTATACACACACACACACATCAGGCTTAGTGAGGTATAATTCTGTACCATATATAATTCACCGATTTGAAGTGTACAATTCAGTGAGTTGGTGTATTCACAGAGTTGTTCAGCAATGAACACAATTTTAGAATATAATCATTGTTCCCAAAACAAACCCTGTTGTACCCATTAGCATTCACTCATCTCCCCACAGCTCTAGGCAAACACTACTTTCAGCCTCTGTGGATTTGCCTATCCTGGACATTTCATAGAAGTGGATTCATACACTACGTAGTCCTTTGTGCCTGACTGCCCTTAATTAGCACAGTGTTTTCAGGATTCATCTGTGTTGTAGTTTGTGTCAGCACTTCATTCCCTTTTATTACTGAATAATATTCCATTTTATGGATACACCACATTTTTATCCATTCATCCATTGATGGGCATTGGGTAAGTTCCACTTTTTGGCTACTCTGGACAATGCAACCATGAACATTCATATGCAAGTTTTGTGAGTGTTGCTGGAGTTTTTGACAGTTCGTCCTATTGCATCTATGGCCTTGCTTGCCATTTACTTCTCAGCTGAGTGCCTACCTCGACTCCCTCCTCTCGGCTTTGATGGACAAGTTTGGGCTCACCTACCTCTCTGCCAGCTCAGTGTCAGGCTCTTTCGTTGGCCTCTCTGCCCACCCACCACCTGCTGATATTCCCCGGGGCTCTAGCCTCTAGTGCTCATAAGCTTCCTGGGTAGGTGACCAGTCACATGGTTTCAACTGCTCCTAACCAGCTGGGGCCCTTAAATGTGCCTGTGTGATTCCTGTCTCTCCCCAGCACCCCCAGGGGGTCACTGGGCCTCCCACACTCAGCATGTCTGCACCTGAGCTTATGCTCTGATCGCCCCACGGGTGCTCCGTGTCAAGATTTTCCCCTAGACTTAGCCTCGTGGGTGATTTTTTTTTTAATTAATTAATTAATTTTTGGCTACATTGGGTCTTTGTTGCTGCGCATGGGCTTTCTCTAGTTGCGGTGAGCGGGGACTGCTCTTGGTTGTGGTGTGCAGGCTTCTCACTGCAGTGGCTTCTCGTTGCGGAGCACGGGCTCTAGGCACGTGGGCTCAGTAGTTGTGGCACGCGGGCTCAGTAGTTGT